CCTTTCTCCTCACAGCTTTATTCTTACCTGTTTTCCCCTCTAAAACACAATCTTTATACAGGCAACGATTTTCTTATTCATTCTTGCATTCCCAGCCCCTAGGAGTGTGTGGCACATAGTAGGTACTCAGTGTGTCAAATGACTGAATGAAGGGTGTATGTACCCTACCCACTCCACCATTACTCCTTCATGAGGACCCTGCGCTTCCACTTACCAGTCCTAAATGGGCCCAAATCTTCCCTGCCGCACGCACCTCATCTAGCCTTCTGTCCAGCAAACATCTGTTGAGATTCTATTATGAATTCCGTTGTTGAGCTGTTGTGTGACAATTATCAGATGCAGGACATTTGAACCCCCTGGCCAGTCCCACCCACCAAAAGGGAAGGAACTTGTCCAGATTTATTTATTCTAAATTTATTTTGTCTACTGAGAAGTTCCTGTGAAGTACACATTTAATCCTCACAATTACTCCTCTGTACCATGGGCTGTACTGTGGACAGAGAGAAGGAACACCCAATCTCCTCAGAAGCTCTGTCCAGTGGAATTGGAGTACCCATCTTGAGTTTATATTCTAGGAACCTGTAGATTCCATTTTACAGATTAGGAAACTAAGGTCTGAGGAGGTTCAGTGCATCAACTTGCCCGGTTCACACAGCACGAGTGGCAGAGGTAGGATGCAGACCCTGAGTGGGTCCACAGGCCCTGTCTTTGCCCTGTGCCATGCTGCCTCTTTTCATCCTCACTCAGTGCCTGCCCAGGGACCTCAGTGTCTGCCAACCTGTCCTGGGCCCCTGCCTCTCACAGATTCACAGTGCCCAGCCCAGAACCATGAGATCATACTCTAGGCCTTGACCCTATGGTTCTTCAATGTGTCCAGTGTAGACACCGTGGCCTGACCCTCCCTCCCCCATCCCCACTTTTTTTTTAAAGATTTATTTATGCATACAGAAACTGGGGTACAGGCCAGAAGTATGGGGGGTGGGTAACAGGATTCACCAGAGACAGAGCGGGGAGCAGAACAGGCAGACAGATTGAAATACGCTGCTGAGGGGAGCAGCAGGCGAGTCAGGAGAGGTCTGCTGCACCATGTGGGTAGCTCCCTGCCCAGGGATGGAACTCATGCTGCAGTGGCTGGTGATAGCTTCGTAGGTTGTGTCTTAACCTCTTGCGCCACTGGGGAGACCCCCAGCCCCCACATTTGACCCAGTATTTAACTCACTATTGTTGGCTGTGGTATTAGGAACCTAGTGCTGCAAAGGACTTTTAAAGAGAATCTAACCCACCTAGATTTGACAGATCTGAAAACCATGTCCTGGGGAGGAAAAGAAATTCACCTTTTTGCTTTGCCATCAGGCAGAGATCAAAACTAATAGAAGCCGTGATGAGAATAGGAGTCTCCTGGATCCTTTCTTCTTTCACTTCAGCTCCTTCAGGAAGGATTGGGTCACCTTGATTTTCTGTTGCTTAATAAATGCCAAGATCTTCATCCATCTCACCCAAAACTAGCTTTGTGTGATCGCCTTGATCTCTCCTCCTGCCATTTCTTCTCTGCCAAGGCCAGCTCTGCAGGTGTTCCTGAAGGCAGGATCTGTTTTCTCACTTGTTCCTCCACGGCATGGCCTTTCTCAGGCCTCAGCCTCCCTCATTTTTTTCTGGATCTAATTTCATTGGAATACATTACCCCCCAGCCAGCCAGTCTGCTCTTGGGCCTCCTGAATTCATTCTCTCCACTTGATAGAAACCCATTTCCTCTTGTTCGAGCGTCTTGGGAAATGGAGAATGAGTCCTCACGTTTCTTCGGAAGCTTAAAAGCGAACTATGCCCCTGTCTGAAGTCCCTACCTCCCACCAACACACTTGATGCCTTCCTGACCCACAAATTCAGGCCTGGCTGAGGGGCAAGGAGCTGGATTTTCACCTGGGAGCCTTGGTCAGTTTTATTCCTGGAACCCCTTCCCATTTCTCCCCTGCCCAGTTGCCATGAGGGTCTGTGTAGGCCCCAAGATTCTGCCCATCCCTACCTCAGACTGATGGGGTGGGGTTCACTGTAGCCCTCAGATTGTCCCCCTCCCAAAACTGCTCATTAGAATTGCCCCTGGCTATACCTGTGCTGGGGCAGCTTGAAAAGCTAAGGGCGAAACTTTTTCTCGGAGCTCTAAATTCATTTTCATGCCAAGCTGCCTGCACTTGCCTGCCTGAAGAAAATGGAAACATGCACTCAGAGTCTGGCTCTGTGTGAGGCCCTGCTTGTTCCTGGAGCTTGCCTGCTTGTGTCTCCAGCTGCCTGCCATGATTTCCCTGGGTTTCATTAACTCTGGGTCAGGCGCTGGAAGAGGAGCTCATCAGACACACTTCACATTTTGCTCCCTCCACCTCATGCTAAGAAAAGTTGCCCTGATTACGGGGAAGTATGTGTTCCCCTGTTCTCTGATAGTTCTATCAGGACAGGGTGAGGCTCAGGTGTCAGGCTGGGGGAGATGCCTCTGACAGTCTCTCAGAAGCTGCTTGCTGGCCTGCCTGGGGGCAGAAGGCTGAAAGTACTGGGTTCTTTCCATTCATGTTATGACCTTGAGCCCCTCATTGCATCTCAGTCTCCCTCATTTAAAAAAATAGGGATCCATTTTGGGTACCCATATCACCATCCCCCTCTAAGTTGAGATTCCAATCAAGTAAGAACGTGCTGTGAGCTACCTGGGAGAAAAACACATCATAAAAGCATTAAAGTTTATACCACAGGGTGTTAGGAACTGAGTCAAGTACCTTATTCCACAGATGGAAAAACTGACACTTAGGGAAGGAAATTGCCAAGGTCACACAGTGACCAGCCCTGACAGCCAGTTTCACAAGCTGAAGGGCGAGGGAGCAAAGGAACACACAGAGGTAAGGAAACCATCCCTGCGTGAGTTTTGGGTATGATGGAGGGAGAAAGTAGGCTCCGATTCTGAAGCCCTGCCCAAGCAAAGGTCCAGACAACTGACATGGGGGCCTCATCCACGAAATGGACTCATCTGTGAAATTGACATTACAATGCCTTGTTCGCAGGTCTGCAGAGGACTAAATGGAATAACATGTGGAAAGCACCTGGTGCTCAGTAAGTTCCCCAAACACCAGTTCCCTCCCTTCTGTTTTATCTTCAACAGCATCACAAATGCTTTCAAAATGGGAGGCACAAAGGGAACATTTTCTTTTAGTGCTGAATGTTACAAAAAAAGACAGTGAACCTTGGATTCCCTTTCCTTTGGGAGCTTTTCTTATACAGTGAATGTGAAATGGCCATTTTCCCTGTCAGTGTAATAAGGAAATAGAAATATTGCTTCTCTCTCCTCCTCTGCCACTTCTGCTTCCTCACAGGTATGAGACCAGCAGCTTTTAATGGAGCTGTGGCCAGACCCTCAGAGAGAGGAGAGTTATTTCTATGAGATTAGCTGAGTGGTGAGGCTAATACAGTTATGAGCCAATAAACACACTGATTAAGGTCATTTTTGCGCCCCTCCCTCTGACCTGCTATGCCTTGGCAGGCCTGGTTCAGGTTCTGCTTAGGAGTCTGGAGACAGCTAAGGCTGGGCCCTCCCATCCAGCTGGGTCTGGGGGGGTCTCTGGGGTGAGCAATTGGACAGACCAGCCTGCAATTAGATTCAGCTTCTATTCCTTGCTCTGCCACCAGATCATTCTCTTTTTCTTATTTCTCCTCTGTATGTCAAAGGTGGAGATAAAAGGACTGCACTTGGAACCAAGGTTCCAACTTGAATCCTGCCTTTCACCTGCCATATCACCTCAGGCTGATAGTTACCCATTCATTCACCCTGCACAAGATTTTGTGCTTCTTGCCTTCAGTCTTCAGTTTGCTCAAATACAAACGGGCATAAGGATGCCAAAATCAGAAGCTGACTTTGGGCATTCACAGAAAAATACACACAAGAAGCTTCCACAGAACATGGAACAAGGACAGTAATAACATTTTGTTTCCTTCTAAGCTTCCTTCAGGTTGACTTTTCCTGATTCTATGAAAATATCTGGCAGCCATAAAAGGGGTTTCCAAAGCTGCTTGTTGAAAGACTTCAACTGCAAGGTGGCATCATAAGTAGCTAAGAGGGAACCGGTTCTTTACAATGAAGCAGACTACAGATCAGGGCCTGTCATAGGGCTGGTCTGACCTTACCCCGCATAGCGCATTTCCTCTATCCAGCCCACTAAATAAGAAAGGGGGCTGGCCAGTATGTCCTGACAGTCTTCTTAGGCCCCTTTGGTGCTAGGCTGACATCTCAATTTTGGCCCCTCCAGTCTGAGCAGTTGCTGTTTTTTCATACCCAAGGGGAACAGTTCTGACTTAGTAAAATCATGAAAGGAATTGGTAGACATCTGCCTTTCAAAGAAGGCAGAAGCTGAAGGCTTTCAAAGAAGCTGCAAGACTAAGTTGTATTCACAGTGGCCTCTAGTGGCAAATCTCCCAAATAGCATGCTGAAGGAATCTCAGAATGACCCCAGACTCAGAAATGTAGGGCTAAAAGGGGGTTAGCCCTAATCTTTGCTTGATGAGTAAGGAAACTGAGCACCAGAGGGAAAATGATTTGCCCTAGTGCTCACATTTACCTCTCTGTTCACAAACCTTGTCTAAAACTGGTCTTCTGTGGATTCAAATGCAATGAGGGACTGTGAAAAACACAGGAGGACACTATTTCTAAAACAGACCAAGCCAACCTTAAGAGAAGACCCTAACATGTCTTTTTTTTTTTTTTAAGTGATGTTTTAAAAAAAGATTTATTTATGAACACAAGAGCTGGGTGTAGGCCAGAGGTTGGGGGGGGGGGTGAGAGGATTCGCCAGAGACAGAGTGGGAGCAGAACAGGCAGATCCACTGAAATACACTGCTGAGGGGAGCAGCAGGTGAGACATCCTGGTCAGGGATCAAACTTGTGCTGCAGTGACTGGTGATTGCTTCATAGGTTGCATCTTAACCCCTTGCACCACTAGGGAAGCCCTAACATGCTTTCTTACCCTACAGTTTGCTTCTCAATTATTTGTAAAAGAAAGTTGCTGGGAGCCTCCCTGGTGGCGCAGGGGTTAAAGACAGTGCTATCATACCACCAGCCACTGCAGCACTGAGTTCAATCCCTCGCCTGCCAGGGAGCAACCCACATGGTGTTGCAGACCTTTCCTGCCTCACATGCTGCTCCCCTCAGCAGTGTATTTCAGTGGATCTGCATGTTCTGCTTCCCACTCTCTCTGTTGAATCCTCTCACCCCCCAGACCTCTGGCTTACATCCCAGTTCTTGTATGCATAAATAAATAAATCTTTTAAAAAAAAGTTGCTGGGAGATCTATCCTAGTATTTACCTAGAGTAGTAACCTGCTGTCACAGGGCTCAAAGCCATGCGGGGCCTTGTGGGCAGCAAATTTGACCACTTAAATGTGTTTTCGATGTTTCCTCTTCGACGTGTTGTAAGAATGTGGGGTCAGAAGGCCACAGTGACAACTGATTGGCTTGAGGATCTGCGGGTAGGAATCATTTTCCTTGCTGGGAGGAAGCTATTTTGACATATTCTGGAGACACAATCCAAAAATAAATCAAGCTGAGGACTTCCAGAGGGCTCAGTGGAAAAACTTTGCTGCCATACCAGCTGAAGCTGGGGTTTGGAGACTTGGAATAAAGCTATTTCTGCACATGTATTTTGATCATTTCCCGAAGAAAACAATTTATTTCATTCATTCAACAATAACCTTAAAGAACTGCATAAGGTGCTGAGGAGACACGCAGAAGGAAATAACATCTTTTGCTTGGAGGTTAGCCTGGTGGGAGAAGCTGTGCGTGGGACGAAGAGGCAGGAGTTGCGTGTGTTGGCTTCAAATGTTCTAGCCCACATAATCCTTACAACAGCCCTGTGAAGTTCGGACCATTCATCCCCTCTGCCAACTAAAGCACAGAGGAATTAAGAAACATCATACTGCTGCCAAGTGGTGAAGCTGGGATCTTGGTTCGAATACCTTTTCCTTCAATGTCGTGATTGTGGGGGACACCTCCCCTGCATTTCTGTAATTTTTTTAAAAAAAGATTTATTTATGCATACAAGAGCTGGGGTACAGGCCAGAGGTGGTGGGGGAGGTGGGGCGGTGAGAGGATTCACCAGACACAGAGTGGGGGAGAACAGGCAGACTGACTGAAATACACTGCTGAGGGGAGGAGAGGGCGAGACAGGAGAGGTCTGCTGCGCCATGTGGGTAGCTCCCTGGCCGCCAGGGATCAAACTCGTGCCATAGAGGCTGCGGATTCCTTCATAGTGCTGTGCTTAACCCCTTGTACCACCAGGGAGGCCCCATTTCTGTAATTTCTAATCATACCTTCTTACCCATTCTAGGGCCCACCACAGCAATCTCAGTGCCACACTGATGTCGAGTACTAAAGTAGGAGTGGAAAGCAGGACACTGTTTCTTAGAGCTCAGTCTTAGCAGCCAAAGGCAGGAGTTGTAGAAGTTTATCCTGTGCTTTCAATTTCTTCACTCTTCCAAAATCACCACTGGCCTAGGAAGCAGAAGACCAAGTTGTGGTCCCATACGCCCCACGCTCTTAGGAAAATCCTCCCTCTCCAATTTAATGTTGAAGAAACATGGCCTGTAGGATCTCACTACTGCAACTTTGGTGTCTGGACCAGCTGGTTAAAAACACAGACTTTCTTGCTGGATGTTGAATCCACCTCTGCTTTCTAGCAGGCTCCCCCATTGATTCTTGTGTAGTAAAGTGTGAGAAGCCCTGGGTTAGTGCCCTTTATTGTCTGGGTGCCAAACTTCCTGCCCATTCCAGGCAAGAACACTGTTTTTTGGGGGGGCCTCCCTGGTGGTGCAGGAGTTAAAGACAGCTATTGCCAGTCACTGCAGCACCAGTTGGATCCCCGGCCAGCCAGGGAGCTACCCACACGCCGGTAGCAGACCTCTCCTGTCTCGCCCACTGCTCCCTCAGCAGTGTATTTCAGTGGATCTTCCTCTTCTGCTCCCCACTGTCTCTGGTGAATCCTCTCATCTCCCCCGCACCTCTGGCCTACACCCCAGGTCTTGTATGCATAAATAAATCAATCTTAAAAAAAAAAAATCTTAAAAAAAAAACATTGCTACCAACTTCAAGTCTTCTTCCAAAAGTCTAGAACCTCCTACCCTTCTCACCCAAGCTGAGCTCTCGTTCCTTCATTAGCTCCAGCAATCCCACAACCTATTTTCATTAATCTCTATTTAGGTTATAAACTCATCCCTATCTTCTCCTCCTAAGCTACCCTCACTTTAGATCTAAGATGTGACTGAAATTGGCTCTCATTTCACACCCCACTTTTATGAGATGTGTCCTAATTGTACTTCTCCTGAGAGGGTGTAAACCCTTATATGACAAAAGGATTAATAATCAGGATTCTTTTTAAACAAGTGACCTTTCCATGGAAACAGGAGTTTCTCATCTTTGGCTAACTCGCGTATTTACTAGAATTGTGGAGCAATTCAAGTTTTACTCTTTGAGGTCTCATCCTTTATGAAAACCTGACACATGCTTGCAGGTTTGCAGGTTTGCAAGCATATGATCATGTTTGCATGTTTGGTGTGTCTTTCTAGAAGAAAGGAACAATGCCTGTGCTAGTCAACACCTTACTTCCCAAAGTAGTGATGATATGTTTTTACCACTCTCAGGATCCAGGTGAAAGTGGGGATTTTCAAGATTGTAATTCTGGAGGCGAACAGAATGGTGTGTGTTTTATACCTTGCTCTGGAGAGGTGGAACCAATTATGTGCAACCATCCAGGCTAAAAGAAATGTACTTTCTACTTTCCCAGAATTTAGAAAGGTCCTGTGCATCCCAAAACCATCTATGAAAAGTCAGTCATTTACTTAGTTGTTGGATTTGGCTTTTTGTTGTCAAGAAAGAGACAGAGCAATGGAGAATGAGGTGGTTTGGTTATTCCGTAAAGGAAATCATCAGCTCCAAAATGTTTAGAGCAATAAAGAGCAATAAAGCTGTAATTCTCTCTTCAGTCAAGATGCTACTAGTCTGAGAAAGCAAGCACCACAACACATATTGTCTCTCAGTTCACAACAATACAGATTTCTTGCAAGTTTGAGGGGTGGTTTCGGTCTCCCAGAACATCCATCTGATTAATCTATAGATAATTTCCCCTCATTCATAAATGCATCCAACAACTGTTATCTTCTTTCTTTGGTACTGCCCTTTATTTATTTTTTTTAAAGATTTATTTATCTATGCACACAAGAACTGGGTTACAGGTCAGAGGTGTGGGAGGGTGAGAGGATTCACCAGAGACAGAACAGGCAGACTGACTGAAATACACTGCTGAGGGGAGCAGCGGGTGAGTCAGGAGAGGTCCGCTGTACCATGTGGGCAGCTCCCTGGCTGGGGATTGAACTCGTGCTGCAGTGGCTGCGGATAGCTTTGTAGGTTGTGTCTCAACCCCTAGTGCCACCAGGGAGGCCCCGATACTGCCCTTTAAAAGGCAGACCTGTTCATGAATGGGAGGAATCCACAGCAGAGCCACAGAAATACTACTTGAAAGGGTTCAGAGGTTAAAATGGCTGCAAGAGCCTCATACAATATTTAAAATCAGATCACAGCAGAGATTTCAACCATCAGTGGAATTTTATTTTGGAAGCTTCTATGTATTACATAGGTATTAACTTCCTTTCTCTCACCTCCCACCGAATCAGAAAGATTAAAAAAAAAAAAAAAATATAAAACCTCTTATCTAGTTTCTCTAAAATCTCATATTAAAAATAAAAAACATAAGTTGTTGCCCCTCCTTTACGAGAATACTGCTTTTTAAGGAGAAGTCACAGTCTGTCCTCAAGCTCACGACAAAGTTCCACTGCTTCCTGGGGAAAAAATGGCCAGTACTTCTGCTTCCTTTTAATAAATTCTTTTCTCGATTATTACACATTATCATTCCCCACTTGACACCTTCTTAGAAACTTGATTGTTGGATGCATTTTTCACTTGGCAAAAATTCAATGTGGCTTTGCGTGGGATGTCTAAGTGTCAGAAACAGCAGTGTTGATATTCTGGTTTTGAGAGGGAAAATATATAGAGAGATGTATACATTCCCTGGAAGAACAAATGCGGGAGACTGACACAGGGGCTGCACAGAGTTCAGAAGGCTGATAGACACTGCTTGATTTTGAATTCTGTTGCTGTCAGCTACCAAAGAATGCAGTGTAGGCCAGAATATAAATCTCCACAGGAAGAAGTTTGGTTAGGCACGGTGAAATGACAGTTTGCTTCATCTTGTTCCAAGAGTATCAGAACAGATACGCACAAGGAGGAGCAGTGTGGGTCACTGGCGATGAGCAGTAACCTGTGAAAGATTGTGCACGGGCACTTCTGCAAATGTTCTGTCAACCTAGGCACGGGGGAAGAGAAAGGAGGCATCCTATTAAAATACACTCCCATCTCTAACTCACCCAAGATCCCAGGCTTCCTGTGCCAGGACTTGCAAGGCCAAAATGCAGTTTAGAGTTACGTGTCATTCCAGGTCATCTGGGAGCTGGTTCATTGGGGTCATCTCAGAAGACCCGGGTGTGCCCAAAAGAGCGACATGTCTACCCGGAAGGGTACGCTTTGATGATCTTCACATCGTCCACGGGGCGGTCCTGGGAGTTTGTTTCCACCATCCCTACTCGATTCACCATTCCTATACCCTGGCACACACGACCAAAAATGGTGTGTTTGCCATCAAGCCACTGGGTGGGAGCGAGGGTCACAAAGAACTGGCTGCCATTGGTGTCTGGTCCCGCATTGGCCATTGCAAGAATTCCAGCTCCTGGAAGGAAAAAGAAGAGAGGAAAGAGTATGAGCAACCTCCACAGTTCCATTCCACAGCTGCCAGGCTTTGTTCTGGCTCAAATAATCAACAGACAACCTTCGCCTCAGGGCAGGCTCTCTGCCCTGACACAGAGGTCACGGCTGCACTGCCTTGTGGACCTCACCTGTCCCTAGCCTCTATCCAAGATGAGTCATGAGAATGGATGGGCCATGCCCCAGATTCCCCTCAAGACCCCGGCAAAGTCTCCTGCTTTTTTGGAGAAGCTTTTGCTTTCCTATAGTTTGTATCATCTACATTCAACAAGCATGTTAGGACACTCAGACCAGCACTCTACATCACTCAGGACTCACTTAAGAGGTGTCTCTTTCTCTAATCCACCAGGGTCCTTTGTGGCGCCGCAGCTGGACAGAGACATGGCACCAGGCCACGGTGTCAGGCATTCGCTTTGAATCCTAGCCAAAGAACAAGCTTTTCAAATCGACTCCCCTCTTCCCACCTAGTCCAGCCAGATTATGGACTTACCTGTGAATTTCAAGTCTGGATGAAGTTCATCTTCAAACTGTTTGCCATAGATAGATGCACCACCTCGACCTGCCAGATTAGAAGACAAAAAACCAACCAGTCATCCCACGTTCTACCTCACAGCAACGATGGCCCAGGGTCAAAGGATTTTTTGAAGTGCAGAAGAGGAAAAGAGTGAGCATGCCAAGATCCTTGCCAGGTAGGCTGCAATTCCACAGCCTAGAAGCAGAATCAAGCACTGCTGCAAAATCTAGCACATTCAAATCATGGGTTTCATTCAGGTAGGAAGTTTCTTTTCAAAATAACTTTTTTTCCCTGCTTATTAAAATAATAGAAGTTCACTGTCAAAAATGTAGAAAAAGCACAATGCCATCAAAAGAACATTAAAGTTTCCTGCAATCTAACCAGTCACACCTTGATGTAAGGGTTTTCTTAATTTTTAATAGTTTTGTGAGTATTTTAGATAGAAATGCCCCAAACCCTGCCTGCACCACAGACCCAGCTTATCAGTCAGCCATCTCCCCTGATGAGCTGAGACTCTCCACTGAGTCCTGACCAACCCAGAACTCCAGGGAGCAACGTTTTTTTGTTACAGATAGTCATTTTTAATGGATCAGAGATGGCATCAAAAATTAAATCTAGGGCCTTCCTGCTGGCGCAGGGGTTAAAAAGTCTCAGTGCTATCAAGCTGTCACCAGCCACTGTGCCATGAGTTTGATCAGATCCTAGCTAGGGAGCAACCCACATGGCGCAGCAGACCTCTCCTGTCTCGCCCACAGCTCTCCTCAGCAGTGTATTTCAGTAGATCTGCCTGTTCTGCTCCCCACTCTGTCTTTGGTGAATACTCTTACCCCCCACACCTCTGGGCTACACCCCAGTTCTTGTATGCATAAATAAATAAAATAAATTTTTTAAAAAATGATTATGTATTCGCTGTCCTTAACCTAGGTGAAGGAAAATAAAATTCATTTAAATCATTTAAGTGGTAATGTGGCAAGAAGGAATAAAATTACAGTAGGCAGAGTTCACTGCAGAGGTAGTTCATCATAAAGAAATTATGAAAAAACACAGGATGGAACTGACTGGCTAGCAACCACGTGTCATTTACATTTTGTCCACAATAGTGTGGCACTGTACTGGGTACCCAGGTTTCATTCTTAAAAGCAAAACAATATGTTAATATGGCTTTCCAATAGGAAAAAATGTCCTAACAGGAGGCAACTTGCCTAATCAGTTATTTCGTCAATCATGTGCCTTGCTGAACTACTTACTTTGTTTCTTCAAGTTGACCAGACCAGACAGCCTGGAAAAAAGCAAACCACCCGGATGGAGCTCACTTCCTATTACAGCCTGCCGTGAAGGTAGCATGGCTAAAGTACAATGTCTACCCCCTGGGGCCCAGCTAAGTGTTTCCCTGGTAAACATCCTTTGTTAATTTACTTTTCTGGATGCTCCGCTACAGGGAGTATGTCATGGCCTCCAGTTTGGTTTGGAAGAAAACACTGTTTTCATGCAAAGAAGAACGGGGACGAATCCTAACAGATGAGGGGAAACCTCCCACCTGGTCCAGGCTACCAATGCTTCTGGAAAATCACTGTACTATCAAACTATATAAGATTTCATTCTAAAATTTCAACCTGGTAGTCGACTTCCAAACAGCAATTATGCAACCAGTACATTCCCTCTGATTATATGTCAAAGTTCCTGCCTAAGGCTGGAAGGGTGGGGATGATTAGTGGAAATTCTAGGGCTAAAGATGAGGGAGGAGAGAGGGGGCTGTGGGGGTAAACTGAGTCAAGCCCCACGTTCAGGGCTTGAGTGAACAAACTGAGGATCAAGTTTAGTACTGGGTTGTCTATCCACAGGCTGGGTCTTGCCAGCGTGATCCCAGCAAGCTGAGAACAGCTAGAATGAAACCTCTAGATCCCCGCCCTACGGGAACAGAAATCCATCACACTAACAGCACCACAAACAAGAAGAGGATTACAGGACAGGCCAGTCAAGAGTCACAGATGAAGTCTGTGGCTCCAAGCAATCAGAAAGAGATGAGAAAGAAGAACATGGAGCCCCCTTTTTATTCACCAGGCATATCAGACTAACTACAACTAATTTGGGCCTCTTCAGCACCATTTACGTATAATTCGTCATCTTTTCATAACCTAGTTCAATTCAGGGTTTGCAGCAAAATGTCAGAAGGAAAATTAATTACAATCAAAACATTCCTGTTGGGCAGGAGGAACAGGGAGAGATGGGGGTGGGGGTGGTGGGGATGGGACAGGGAAAGATTAAAGAGTTCTCTGGCGCAGAGCAGGTTACACAGATGTCAACTATCAGTTATAAAACTGACAACTGGGAAACTTCTTAGTCAAAAACTTACACCAGTACAGATACAATGGAAATAGATAGGTACAAGCCTGTTTTCTAAACTCTATTCTTAAAGTTCTGTTACTTTTCTGTCCTCTATCTTAAACATTTATTCAATGCATTTTTTTTAAAGATTTATTTTTATTTATTTATACAAGCACTGGGTACAGTCAGAAGTGCGGGAGGGTGAGAGATTTCACCAGAGCCAGAGCGGGGAGCAGAGCAGGCAGAAGGACCGAAGCACACTGCTGAGGGGAGCAGCGGGCGGCAGGAGAGGTCTGCGCGCCATGTGGGACCCTCCTTCGGTGGCCGGGGAGCAGCCGGGGATCGAACCGGCGCTGCAGAGTCTGCGGGCAGCTTCGCAACCCAGCGCTCAACCGCTGCACCACCGGGGAGTCCCCTTATTCAATTCATTTAACATTCCAAACATACAAAGAATAGCATGACAAATAACTGCACCTCCCCAAGAAATAAAAGTACGATAAATCAAGTCCAAGACCCACACACACACACTCACACGTCACCCTTCCCCACCCGCTAGAGCTCACAACTGCTCTGAAGAATCACATTTTCCTTCCAGGCAACCACTATTCTGACCAGGAGCTTCTCATCTCCAAGCATTTCCTTTCTTTTTCTTTCTTTTTTGTTTTTACCATATACGTATGTATCCCTTAAAAAATGTGCTGTTGTTTTGCATATATTTAAGTTTATATAAATACTATTATATTCTAGGTATTTGACAATTAGTTTTCCCCCCACATTTGTGATATTCAACAATTTTGTTCCAGGAGCTCTCTGTAGTATTCATCCCACTTCGCACTGTATCACCAAACCTATCTGTGTCATATTGATGGCTATTTAGGAGCTTTCCAATGTTTTTTTTTTTTTTTTAAATTATTATTATTATAAGTTAGGCTGTAATAACCAATCTTATACTGTCTCTCAAACACAAGTGCAGGAGTTTCATGGACTAACCTCACTGGGGGTGGGGGTGGGAATGGGGGTGTATGCAGGTCACAGTTTACAAGCATCTTAGCACTACAAGGTTTTCCTAACTACATGCCAGATGTGACCTCAAGGCACATCCCACCTTGTTCTCCTTCTTATTCTCACTGCTCTAAGTCCATTAGTCACACTTCTAACACCTGTCAGTCTGAGAGCAGCACAATTTCTTATGCCCTTTTAATCTTCATTCCCTGAAGTTTTGTATAATATCATGTTTACTGGCTATTTAGCTTTCTTCCACTCTGAATGGCCACTTTTCTAAGTGGCTAGATTCATATTTTCTGAATACTAATCCTTTGTCAGCTAATGCTTTGCAAGTAAATATCTTCTTCTAGTCAATGTTCTTCACTCTTTTAATCCAGTTGAAATTCCTTAGTCTTTCTCTTTATTATGTGCTGTTTCTTTTTTTTTTTTTTTAAAGATTTATTTATTTATGCATACAAGGACTGGGGCACAGGCCAGATGTGTGGGGGGTGAGAGGATTCACCAGAGACAGAGTGGAGAAGAGAACAGGCAGACTGACCAAAGTACACCGCTGAGGGGAGCAGCAGGCGAGTCAGGAGAGGTCTGCTGCGCCATGTGGGTTGCTCCCTGGCTGGCTGGGGATCAAACTTGTGCTGCAGAGGTGGTGAATTGCTTCATAGTGCGGTGCTTAACCCCTTGCACCACCAGGGCGGACCTATGAGCAGTTTCTTTAAAAATAAAAATCTCTCCTTATCCCTAAGACTCCTCTGACATCAATCAAAGCTTCCTCTTACCAAGAGAGCCTCTAGCAGATGCTGCAGGTCAGCTAGCCCTGACCATTTCCAGTCCTATTGTCCATGGCCTGTTTCAACCTCAGAGACAAGGGAGGGAGGTACTAACTTGTGTCTATTGCAGCTAAGTGTGGCTAAACGACCCAGTTAGGACTTAATAATATAAACAAAGCTCCTGGGAGAGCTACAGCCTTCCTGATAAAAAGGGACAAATAGACTCCTTTGTCTTTCACGCATAGCTTTCTCTATATTTCTTTTCTGAAAGCAAAGGTGATATCAGAAGAAGTCTGAGACTAAAGGTCATGACACCAAAAATGGTAGAGCAAGTTTGGTCTCTGACGACCCCACTGGGCAGCCACCCAATGCCTACCACTGCTCACTTCCAGACACGAGGAAAGCACAAGTTCTCTTTGTTTAAGCCACCGTGGTTGTTTTCTGTTACTTGCAGCCAAAAGCACTGATCAACTGATATAATCACTTTGTGAGCAACAGAGTAGAATGGGGGAAGCGGCTAAGGGAGCTGCTAGATTACCAGGCAAATGTCAGATACCACATTTAATCTGGGCAACAATATGACAGTTCTCCAAGCAGTTCTGTAGTTTTTTATGTGGAGTCCTCTCTTTCTCACTTACCTATGAAAGACCTGAATTGCAATTCTAATTCCACTACCTACTAGCTGGGTAACCTCAAGTAAGATACTTATCCCCTCTAAGCCTCAGTTTCCTTGTCTGTCAAATAAGAACAGCAGTAGTACCTATGTCACATGGGATCATTATGACAGCTAAATGAGATAATGCATGGAAGGCATGCAGTGTATTATTACATGACGCAAACATACAGCATTGGGATGACGAGCCTTTAAAGTAACCCAAGCATTTTCTGTGAAAGGCAACGCTAACTGGTGATTAATAATCTACCTTGGAGCCACTCTGCTTGGGCTTATTC